TTTTTCTTCAATAATATATCTGTCTTTAAGTGTTTATTCCTTTACCTCCTCCTCCTCAGTCCTAATCCCTTTTGGGATATGGTGACACTATCAGGCCTCTACAGTTTTATCACGATTTCCTCCATCCTTCTCTGTTCTGGGCTAGTTGTTCGGCTTTATGTAACCCTTGGTTAATCAATATTTTCGTTTAATCATTTTGCACTATTTCTGTAATATATTTGATCGTTTGTTCTTCGTTCGATTTATCTCTAATTGCAGTCACTTGCTCTTTAAACGTGGCTTGGACTCTCATTCTCGTATCAAGGTCTTTTAGCTATGTAGGTCATATGATTGTGCTTTCTTGTCTGCACTGTTTGAGTTTGACTCGAAATACTCCGACCAGTGGAACGTGGTCTGTCTTTAAGTCTCCTTCAGGATAAGTCTTGATAGATGTAAAGCAGTTTTAGGTAATCTTTTATTTAGTAAAATGTAGTCTATTTGATTCCTAATAATTCCTCCGGGTCTGTCTTGAGGGATTTCCACGTGTACGGCTTGCGAGCTGATAATTGAAAGAATGTGTTTGCGACAACTAGTTCTGATCTGCGAATTTTTCTAGGAGGTCTTCTCTCTCGTTTCTGACTCCAAGTCCATGTGCTTCGATATACTGTGTCTTATCTCCAGCTCAAATTTTGGCATTAAAATTGCCCATAAATGATAAGAACTTTGTGTCGAGGAAAGAGAAAAATAGAGGTAGTATAATAAAATATGTCGAGCTCGGACGACGATACGCTCGCTTTGACCGCTTTTGTTTCTGTGAAACAAAGAAAATCCCGAATAAAAAGACCTGCGATGTGTGTAAAGAATGGTTGATTGAAAAGGAAAACCTAATTTTTACATTATTTTACTAGACTTAGACTATTTTAGACTTAGACCTAGACACTAGTGTAATACTTTATAACGTTCATCTTCAAGTCCGCGTGTGTTCCGCATCTTCAAGTTTTTTCTTTTCTCTTGTATAATTAGTCAGTGAGGAGTTTATTTTTTTTAACAACTGCATCCTTGTGGGCATTAACGTCAATTAACCTAGATTTTTCCTATTAATATTTTGTATGCTGCATCTCTCTTTGCTTTGTTATGATAATCTTTGGATTTAAAGTGTCAAAGACATGGCTGATTTTCGTATTCTTAAATAAACTCTTCCAATAATTCGCAGTTAACCTTGAAGGTTAACTGCAAACTACTTCCAACTAATTCAAGCTTGAAAATCTTGGATACACACGTACCATTTTGCTTGCGCAAACACGCTTAATTCAAGCATGCATAATTAAGATCCCTTCAATCTTTAAGCCGCTTGTACAATCACAAAGCTTGCACCACATTTCCCTACAGACACTTAAGGTGCTTGTACAAAAAGATTGAACAAACTTGCACGTGTGTCTGTAGCCGCCTTTACGCCGCTATTAGAGCATGCAAGAAAAGTAAATTGCTTACAAATTACACTATGCAAAAAATCAAAAATTAACATACCAAAAAACACTGTAAGCAGGAACTGACCTTAAAACTAAAATAGCATTTACACCGTTATAATAACATGCAAGAAAACTAAATTGCTGACAAATTTAAAGTAAATTTTTATTAAAAACACTGACTTACGTTTTATTAAGAATTTTTAGGATAGTCCTCGTATTTTATAATTTGAATACTGTATTTTGAAATTAAAAGTTTGTTGGTTATCTTGAATTACGATTATTACTATGTAAATCAACTAATTAGTTTTCTACTTTTAAACACTTGATAAAATTGATAATTACTTACAAGTATCTTTTTATTTTAAGAACATTTGTTGTTCATGTTAAATACCAATTTTTTCCCGGCATTTAGTATGTAAAAATATCATTTTAGATAAATAGCTTACAGTATGGCCGAGCAAAATAATTTCTTCATGTACTTTTTCTGCTATTGTAGGTAAGAAAACTTTTTTTGGCACATATTTTTTTAGTTAAAAATTTTTGTTTATTGAGCTTCTTCATGTTTATCTTATTGTCTATATATATATATGATATTATATATATAATATTTATATATATATTATATATATATTATATAATATATATATATATATAATATATATATATATTTATAATATATATATATATATATATATATATATATATATATATATATATTTATTTATTTTATAAGGCAGCGCACTCAACCATATTGGTTATTAGCGGATGAATTTAATGAAAACAATAATGGTTACAAATACAAATAAATAACATACTTATATGTGGTTCAATATGCTACAGTCTCTTAAGAATTTCACAATGTTTTCACTGGTACACTCACTAAAAATGTCCCTTATAACTGATGGAATTTTATTAGTTATTCTTTCAGCACTATATTTGGGACACTCCGTTAATACGTGTTTCACTGTTAACGGCACGTTACAACTCGTACATTTTGGTTGAGGTTCCTTCTTCATGAGATATTCATGTGTGAGTTTGCTGTGTTCTAATCGGAGCCTGGTTAATACAACCTGAAGGAAAACGGCTAGGGGCGTTGTTAGTCCATCGTCCAAAATTTGGTTTAATTTCTTTTAACTTTGAGGATTTTTCTTTCCAACATTTAGTCCAATTACATATCAGCTTTTGTTTAAAGTACGGATTGAGATCTTCTGCTAATGGTTTTATTATCGGTCTGATATTTGGGGAATTTGTTATTTCTCGAGCATTTTTATCAGCTAGTTCGTTTCCTTTAATGCCTATATGTGATGGTACCCACACGAAGACTAATGTTTTGTTTTCCAGCTGCTGCATCTTGTTTTTAATTAATTTAGCTATCGGGTTGCAAGTGTACATTTTTGACAGTATATGAAGGGAATTGATTGAGTCAGTAATAATAAGGAATTTATCTGGTTTGACTGTTTGTATGTGAATTAGAGCTCTGTATATTGCATACAATTCTCCAGTTATCATAGTGGATTCTGTGGGCAATTTGAAACTTTTTATTATGTCTCTTATCAAATGATGATCCTACACCAGAAGTTGTTTTAGATGCATCTGTGTAAACTTGGGTATATTCAGGGAAAGAAGAAAGTATTCTATTATAATTGCTTATAAATATTTGTGGATTAGTTTCAGATTTATGATATGATGATAGTTCTAAATTTAAAGTAGGCAAAGGTATTAACCAGGGAGGTGGCGTGTTTACGTTTGCTGAATGTGTTGAGGGAAAGTTAAAAATTTCAATAGAGTTTAAAATGTTTTTGATCCTTAATTGAAATGGTAAATGTGTTCTTATATTGATATTTGATAACGATGACTGAGTAAGAAAATGGTTGTCAGGTTGTAGTGATGATTGTTTTGAAGCGTAAGATAGACTAAGTAATTTCCGTCGTTCATGTAATGATGGCTCTCCAAGTTCCCACTCGAGGCTTGCAACAGGAGTTGTTCTATAAGCTCCAGAGATTATGCGTAATGCATTGTTGTGTATAACGTCTAAGATTTTTAAATTTGACTTCGACGCTGAAGAATATGCAATGCATCCGTAGTCCAATTTTGATCGGATTAGGCTTCTATACAACAGTAATAATGTATCTCCGTCAGCACCCCATTGTTTGTTGGCTAAACGTTTAAGAAGATTTATACCATTTTGACATGATATCGCCAATTGTTTAATATGTGGTTTCCAACTTAAAGTTTCGTCGAATGTTATGCCTAAATATTTTATCTTTGTACTTCGTTTTAAAAACTTTTGTGCCGAATTTTAAGGCAGGTATGTTAGTGTGAATAGGCTTTTTGGAAAAAAATAATATATTGTGTCTTGTCAGTTGAAAAATAGAATCCACTCCTATTAGACCAACTTTCGATTTTATTTAGTTCTTCTTGTAAAAGTTTGACCATCGAGTTAATATTTTTTCCTTTGATAAACATTATCATATCATCAGCATATAATCTAGCCTGTGCAGGTCTCTTGAGATTTTTTATAACATCATTCATTGCTATTAAAAAAAGTGTAGGGCTAATTACAGATCCTTGTGGTGTTCCATTGTCTTGAGACTTAATACTAGAAAGTTCTCCATTACTACGTACTGAAAATTTGCGTTCATTTAGAAAGTTATTCAAAAATGCCAACATGTTTCCTTGAATTCCCCAAGTCTGCAGCTTTGTTAATATTCTGTGTCGCCATGCTAAGTCAAATGCTTTGTGGATGTCAAAGTAAACAGCTATGCATTTCTGTTTGTTACAGAAGGCTTCATTAATTTGACTTTCTAAATGTAAAACATTGTCTATAGTAGATCTCAAAGGACGAAATCCAGCTTGTTCCGGTATAAGTAAATTGTGATGTTCCAAATGCCACATAAGTCTATTATTTATTATTTTCTCTAGCAGTTTGCAAGTAGAACATGTAAGTGATATTGGCCTATATGATTCTGCCGCTGTAGCCGGTTTGTTAGGTTTTAGTATAGGGATGACAATAGCTTGTCTTCATAAGTCAGGAAATTTTTGTTTACACCAG